TTAAACTGTTGAGTTGCAGGTGGGTTTGAGAGTAGTTACTCCGTTCTGTCCTGGACACATTCCATGTTCCCCTCACTCCACAATTCACAACTGAGAGCCTTATGAGATTCCACTGCGACTGTTACACGTGTGTGGTCTTCAATCTCAGTCTCAAAGGTCATAGGAAGGCAACGGGGGTCCACATTCTTGTGGTGGGGCCTGTAACATTAGATGAGTTGCAGTATGTGACACAGACAACCCCTCATAGACCTCTCCTTGGTATGTCCCTGTTGACCCCATATAGACATTAGTTGAACCCAAGATGTCTTCAAGATTATGTTGTGGTGCACTGCATGGGCTTGGGGATGGATCACCACCAAATGGCATCAGTGAACATACACTGCTGTTCATTCTTTAAGTGTGCTGACAGAGGGATCATAACCTACCAAGACAGAGTTACAGGACCCATCTTGCTCAGCTGGATGGGAAACATATACAGTGGTTTGCGAAAGTATTCAGCCCCCTTGGCATTTTTCCTATTTTGTTGCCTTACAACCTGGAATTAAAATATATTTTTGGGGGGTTGTATCATTTGATTTACACAACATGCCTATCAATTTGAAGATGCAAAATAGTTTTAATTGTGAAACAAACAAGAAATAAGACAAAAAACAGAACTTGAGCATGCATAACTATTCCCCCCCCCCCCCCCCCCCCCCCAAAGACAATACTTTGTAGAGCCACCTTTTGCAGCAATTACAGCTGCAAGTCTCTTGGGGTATGTCTCTATAAGCTTGGCACATATAGCCACTGGGATTTTTGCCAATTCTTCAAGGCAAAACTGCTCCAGCTCTTTCAAGTTGGATGGGTTCCGCTGGTGTACAACAATCTTTAAGTCATACCACAGATTCTCAATTGGATTGAGGTCTGGGCTTTGACTAGGCCATTCCAAGACATTTAAATGTTTCCCCTTAAACATTTCACATTTACATTTTAGTCATTTAGCAGACGCTCTTATCCAGAGCGACTTAAAGTTAGTGAGTGCATACATTTTTCATACTGACATGAGACATGAGGGGTGGGATGTGTGTTCTGGGTGACGGGTCCACACAGTGTCAGAACAACAGCATCCCCATGCTGACTAGTGGGTTGGCTGGCTGTGGACATCTTTTTTTGTCCTGTTACTGTGCTACATTTGGACATGCTTAATTACCCTCTTTTCCTAGCTGTGGTTAGTTAGTTAGTTAGTATTTTACCGTAGCTGCATATCAGACGAGTCTAGCTACTCCTGAAACTCACAGCCAGAGCTAACGCCACCAGCAGCCTAGCCATGTCGCGCAGCTAGCTAACCGTTTATTCATTAAATCAGACTCAGTCACTCTTCAAACAAGAAACTTTAAAATTACAAAAACTGCCCTAACACCATTATCGTTATACTACCATATGAGAGTTTAAAAAATCCTTGATGGCTGGTGAAGGAAGGATGAATGGTGGCTTTGAAAGGTGGTTCTGAGGAGTGCAGGGCAAGGTTGGTTAACCTTTTCAGCAGGGGAGGCCTGGTTGTCATAGTCCTCAGCTGGAGCAGCAGGTAGCTAGTGGCATAGCTGGGTAGCACAGGGACTGGTAATCATAGATGCATTGTGGGCATGGGGGACGGGACGGGACAAGTATTATGGAGGCCAGAGGGTAGATCAGGGGATGGCAAATTTAACCACTAGCTCTTCTTTAGCATCCACCTTGATCTGAGAGATTGCACTGTAAGCATAGGCAGCTATCTTGGACACCTGTTGTACATCCGAGTCTGGCACCAGATCGAGCACTTGGTGCGGCTGGCTGGTGAGGGAAGGGAGAGGGAGGGGCTTCTTCTGAGACAGACTGTTACTCAACAAGGCCAGTTTTGTACTGTATTGCCGAGCTTTGTCCATGTACTCATGCTGCTCCATGCCTTGAGAGTCTGCAGCCGAGACATCGATGATGTTCAGGGCTGTCTTGGTAAGGATGGATGTGAGTAAGGCCTGTTCGTCTGTGCGGGCTGAGGGTACACTGGCGGAGCTCCATTCTGTGCCGTTGAGGGGCTTGCTGTCGGGGTTCGGGTGGGGGATCAGCGGCTTACGCTCATCAGGGTCCTGCTCGGTGGTCTCGCTCTCACTGCTGTAACAACAACCCATGGCGTCCGCTGGGTGTTCGCCAATCTCCAACTACTCCACCCCGGAAACTATAGCTATAATAAGAGAAACAGACCCTGTCTCAGTCCAAAGGAAAGGAATCAAACTTCTTTCCTTGTTTCTCGCTGACCGCTTATGTCAGCTAAAACCACTCTTAAACACACTTAATCACACTATTAATCACACTTAAACCTCTCAAGTGTTGCTTTAGCAGTATGCTTAGGGTCATTGTCCTGCTGGAAGGTGAACCTCCGTCCCAGTCTCAAATCTCTGGAAGACTGAAACAGGTTTCCCTCAAGAATTTCCCTGTATTTAGCGCCATCCATCATTCCTTCAATTCTGACCAGTTTCCCAGTCCCTGCCGATGGAAAAACATCCCCACAGCATGATGCTGCCACCACCATGCTTCACTGTGGGGATGGTGTTCTCGGTGTGATGAGAGGTGTTGGGTTTGCGCCAGACATAGCGTTTTCCTTGATGGCCAAAAAGCTTTTTAGTCTCATCTGACCAGAGTACCTTATTCCATATGTTTGCCTTTTGGCGAACACCAAACATGTTTGCTTATTTTTTTCTTTAAGCAATGGCTTTTTATTTGGCCACTCTTCCGTAAAGCCCAGCTCTGTGGAGTGTACGGCTTAAAGTGGTCCTATGGACAGATACTCCAATCTCCGCTGTGGAGCGTTGCAGCTCCTTCAAGGTTATCTTTGGTCTCTTTGTTGCCTCTCTGATTAATGCCCTCCTTGCCTGGTCTGTGAGTTTTGGTGGGCGGCCCTCTCTTGGCAGGTTTGTTGTGGTACCATATTCTTTCCATTTTTTATAATGGATTTAATGGTGCTCCGTGGGATGTTCAATTTTTTTTATTTTTATAACCCAATCCTGATCTGTACTTCTCCACAACTTTGTCCCTGACCTGTTTGGAGAGCTCCTTGGTCTTCATGGTGCTGCTTGCTTGGTGGTGCCCCTTGCTTAGTGGTGTTGCAGACTCTGGGGCCTTTCAGAACAGGTGTATACAGTTGAAGTCGGAAGTTTACATACACCTTAGCCAAATACATTTAAACTCAGTTTTTCACAATTCCTGACATTTAATCCTAGTAAAAATCCCCTGTTTTAGGTCAGTTAGGATCACCACTTTATTTTAAGAATGTGAAATGTCAGAATAATAGTAGAGAGAATGATTTATTTCAGCTTTTATTTCTTTCATCACATTCCCAGTGGGTCAGAAGTTTACATACACTCAATTAGTATTTGGTAGCATTGTCTTTAAATTGTTTAACTTGGGTCAAACATTTCGGGTAACCTTCCACAAGCTTCCCACAATAAGTTGGGTGAATTTTGGCCCATTCCTCCTGACAGAGCTGGTGTAACTGAATCAGGTTTGTAGGCCTCCTTGCTCGCACACACTTTTTCAGTTCTGCCCTCAAATGTTCTATAGGATTGAGGTCAGGGCTTTGTGATGGCCACTCCAATACCTTGACTTTGTTGTCCTTAAGCCATTTTGCCACAACTTTGGAAGTATGCTTGGGGTCATTGTCCATTTGGAAGACCCATTTGCGACCAAGCTTTAACTTCCTGACAGATGTCTTGAGTTGTTGCTTCAATATATCCACATAATTTTCCTTCCTCATGATGCCATCTATTTTGTGAAGTGCACCAGTCCCTCCTGCAGCAAAGCACCCCCACAGCATGATGCTGCCACCCCCGTGCTTCACGGTTGGGATGGTGTTCATCGGCTTGCAGGAACCCCCTTTTTCCTCCAAACATAACGATGGTCATTATGGTCAAACAGTTCTATTTTTGTTTCATCAGACCAGAGGACATTTCTCCAAGAAGTACGATATTTGTCCCCATGTGCAGTTGTAAACCGTAGTCTGGCTTTTTTATGGCGGTTTTGGAGCAGTGGCTTCTTCCTTGCTGAGCGGCCTTTCAGGTTATGTCGATATAGGACTCGTTTTACTGTGGATATAGATACTTTTGTACCTGTTTCCTCCAGCATCTTCACAAGGTCCTTTGCTGTTGTTCTGGGATTGATTTGCACTTTTCGCACCAAAGTACGTTCATCTCTAGGAGATAGAACGCTTCTCCTTCCTGAGCGGTATGACAGCTGCGTGGTCCCATGGTGTTTATACTTGCGTACTATTATTTGTACAGATGAACGTGGTACCTTCAGGCGTTTGGAAATTGCTCCCAAGGATGAACCAGACTTGTGGAGGTCTACAAAAAAATTTCTGAGGTCTTGGCTGATTTCTTTTGATTTTCCCATGATGTCAAGCAAAGAGGCACTGAGTTTGAAGGTAGTCCTTGCAACACATCCACAGGTACACCTCCAATTGACTCGAATGATGTCAATTAGCCTAGCTTCTAAAGCCATGACATAATTTTCTGGAATTTTCCAAGCTGTTTAAAGGCACAGTCAACTTAGTGTATGTAAACTTCTGACCCATTGGAATTGTGATACAGTGAATTATAAGTGAAATAAACAATTTTCTGTAAACAATTGTTGGAAAAATTACTTGTGTCATGCACAAAGTAGATGTCCTAACCGACTTGCCAAAACTATAGTTTGTTAACAAGAAATTTGTGGAGTGGTTGAAAAACGAGAACGTTATTTTTGTCATTTCACTTCACCAATTTGGACTATTTTGTGTATGTCCATTACATGAAATCCAAATAAAAATCCATTTAAATTACAGGTTGTAATGCAACAAAATAGGAAGGGGATGAATACTTTTGCAAGGCACTGTACCTGTGTGTGCTCCGAGAGAGGAAATGGTTTGGATTCATTTAAAGTGGAGCCTTTGAGTCCATCTGTCATGTGAAGGGTTGCAGAATACACCCTGTGATTCCTCTCGGAAGGTGTCACATCATTGATGAGAGTGGGAGGTCCATCTTCTTTGCACTCTGGCACACACTGTCTGATGGTGATGATGGCACACTCTGTCTGATGGTGATGGGGCTCTCAGTTGGTTGTCCTATAGCATGATGCTCCAGGGTAGGCTCCTCCTCTTCCACGTCCGCATCTGTGTCCTTTACTAGTTCATCCTCAAACCAGTTTGGATGCTCCAGCTGATAGGCATGGAAAGCCTCCACTGCGCCCCGCAACGCTTTCCCTGAGGGACAGTGAAAATACTCGTCCTCTGTGATGCCTTCAATGCGATTCACCCTCCCTGGCTCATGTTTCTCTTTATCCAGGAGCCTGAAGAGGAGCTCCTCAAAATGCTTCATCAGTTTGTACCTGTAAAGGGGAATAGGAATGAGCCATGGCAGGTATCCTTCCTTCCTTCCTTCCCTCCCTCCCTCCCTCCCTCCCTCCCTCCCTCACTCACTCCTTCCCTATGACAGTACCTCACTGTGATGTTAAACGGAGACGGAACATCCTCCTCGGAACACACGTCCTCAAAGTAAGCCACCATGTAGTTCTGGAACGTCCCAGATCTCACGAAGCTGGGCACCAGGAGGCTGAGTGCAGGGGTGAGCATGTCCCCCATGGGGGAACGTACATCCTCTCTCAGGGTCACCTGGGTTTTGGCACCATCACACATTGCTCTCCATTTGGCCCTTACCCCCCGCGAACACAGGATTAGGATCTTGTCTGAGGACTTAACAATCTGTTCCCTCTGCCAGTCCAGCCACTGGACACTACCCACAACTCCCAGCCGGGCAGAGTCCAGCAAGTCCAGCACCACCTAAATGAGTCAATTAATTAACTTTATTTGACAAATTGAAAATACATATAGGGCTGGTTTCCCTGACACAGATTAATCCTACAGTATTTCATTACGCTATTTCAATGGAGATTCATTATTGAGTAGGATTTTAAATCCAGGACCAGGCTAGAACCGCCCCATAGAGTTACCCGAGCAACAATCCATACATACATAAAAAATCAAAAAAATCATAGAGGATTAAAAACACAATAATGTCAACAGACAAAATGTCCATTGTGGTGCTCGTTCTCACCTCTGTGCCACACTTAACCATGAGGAAAGCACAGAGCTTCAGGATGATCTCTATGTACAGAGGATGGTCCAGAGAGTAGACGATGAAGACTTTCCTCCTTTTCTCTTGTGCTTGGACACCCTCCAGTTCACTTCTGGGAGTGGTCAGGAGCTGGTTTCCTGGATCTAGGAAGGAGACGAAGAAATGGAATAGAGTGATACTACGCAAGTGCGCAGAAATATGAACGATATTTGACCAGTTGAGGCATGTAGTTTACTATTTTGTTTTTATTTAGTGAAAGGTTAATCTATTAACCAACAAACCTGTATGGGATGTTTTTTGCAGCAAATAAGCCAGGAAACCACTAGCAATGGTCAGCCCCAGTAATGCTTTTATCATCAAAGATCGGCTGTAAGTGGGCGGCCTTTGATAGTCTTGGGAAAAAACAATGCAATAGATTTATCAGACGAAGATAAAAGTGAAAATCAATGAGCTGACCTTTGAACAAAATAAGTCATTTAGATGGCAAATACATTTGACTCACAGGAGCAGTAGTTAACCTTTGTCTGGTGATGCAAACAGTTGCTCTTGCACCGTATGAAAAATGGCTGAATCTTTTGAGAAAAAAGTATGTTTGTGGTTAGTTCAGTCAGTGAAATAGAAAATAAATGTTGCTATAGGAAATGTAATGGTCTTCATGAAACTTACCACAATGAGCATTTCACATGGAGGCAGCTGCCATACATCCAGTTCAAAAGTCATATTCAATGATGTTCTATTCTCCTGAAACATGTGAATTGAAGGTAAGACATCATAAAAAAATAAAAAAATGTTTACCTTTATTTAACTAGGCAAGTCAGTTAAGAACAAATTATTATTTACAATGACGGCCTACACCGGCCATCATGACATAGTAACAGTATTAAGTTCCAGTAACACAGTAATCAATTCACAATGTTTCATCATTGAGTTTTGTTGACTACAGATACCTACCCTCATGACATGCTGTGAGTGTTGAGTGTTCTGGATGGATATCTGGTACTCCTCAGAGAACTCCGATGTTTTAAAACCCACTGTGATGATCAGTCTCTCTCCTCCATCCACTGGCACAGTCCAGGACAGCTGGGGGTCCCAAAGACTGCCTGGAATGATGCAACATACTCAGTGTTGTTGTAGATATATCCAAGCCCTTGATTACTTTCTGTATTAACTATTACCTGACTTTAATTGTGAGCCTTACCGTTTTCCAAACACACTTTGGCTTCTTTTATTCTTGGATCCTTGCATCCTGATCACGATAACATACAGGTATACATTTTAATGCAATGCACATTCAGAAGTTTAACCTAAGCACTTTTCCATCGACTTCCATGTCTGCCTCACCTGGGATTGTAATGATTTTGTCAAGTCTGTAATTCCCCAGGTCTGGTTTTGGTAAATTGTAGACAGAAACAGAATACCTGTGTTCAGGGTCCACCACAATTCTGTCTAAGGAAAATGTCCACTAAAAGAAAGTAAAGTAGACAGAGATCAGTCTAACAAAGCAGAAGGTTATTTTCATATCTGATCATTCATTTCCACCTTTTAGCAAACCTCCATCACTTAGATTCAGATCAGTATCATTGTCTTACCGGGTTCCAGTTGGTCATCATGTTTTTGATTTTGTTATGGAAGATGTATCGGACACATATGCTTTGATTACTGGCCTCTTCAATGACGTGCACCTCGGTCCCACGGATGGCGACTACACCTCCTGTGGATTAGATCAAGGAAGAAGAAGATGATTACTTTATCGTTGGAGCGGTTAGAGCACAGGGTATGCCACAATGCAGTGCAGCGCACCAGGAGCAGATTAGGGATTAAATGCCTTGCTCAAGGGCACAACTGCAGAAGCAAGCATCTAGTTTTACTTGATGATCAAATAATAAGACATTACCATTAAACATTAATAATGTGTACATTACCATTAACTTGTAGACTCCAGCTCAGAGAGATCACGGGCTGCAGATAGCCACTCTCCCCTCTACTCACAAACACATGCTGCTGTGAGCCTGGGAGCCACTCCGGACTGTTAGGTGCCTGACGTCTGGGTTTAATCCAACCCTCATCTGAACAGTTATCTGGCAGATTCAACAGATGGTATGACAATGAATGATCTTTATTCAGTGTGTGTCATCATTGAACATATTGAAATGTATTGAACAAAATACATGTTAACAATATATATGTAAAACTGAACACGGCACGATTTACCATTGTACTCTGCCATTTTATAGTACAGAGACCCCCTTGGGTTTTTCCAACTTTGTAGCCTGTATTTACAACAATCAAAATGAGATAATTTCCCTATAATCAGATGACACTTACTAATGTGAACGCTGCATTGAAGATCCTGGAAAACAAAATGAAAAAAATGCAAGAATGCTTTGCAATAGACTATTACAATAAAGTGAGTGTAAGATAGTAGACCCTCGGCGGTCTTGTCTGGCGGTCCAATTGAGAAGCATATGAAGTCAATGCAAAATTGTGGTATTTATTTCCAGGTGCAGAAGGTGAGCTGGATACATGGATATTTACAAAACGTTGACGAACACTGCCATATAAATGTAGAATTGCTAAATAACAAACAGCTTAAAAATCCCCTGAATAGAGTACCTCAGCATGAGTCATAACACCCATAAAACCTAGAGGTCAAACAAGGAAATGGTTACAATTGTTTTTCATTTTAGAAACACTTAAAATAAGGGCTGTGTTTCGTGTAGGCTTACCTTGGCGTGACGTTTGATAACCGTGTAAATCTCTCTAGGACAAGGTAACTTTTATCAATGTATTCACCTGTATTTACTCCACAAAAATGAAATGCTAATTATCTGCTAATGTGGCTATCATAAAGAACTACAAATGCCATGATGATCTGGACGAGACTGCCGATTCGAGGCAAAGTTAAGAATCTCTGGATTAACTATCTAATGTTAGCTAAATTTAGCATGAATAAATTGGCAACATTTATTTAAATGGACAGTTCTGTGAACTGTCTTGTGCAAGTTTTAAATTACAAATGTGTCAGCTAGAGATGACGTGCAGGAGCTTGCAGGGATTTGTAGTCTTGCATGATGTCTACTTTGATGCTAATTAGCATTTTCAGGTCTGAGAGTAAATAGAGCCGAATATATTGATAAAAGTCACCTTGTCTGAGAGAGATTTACATGGTAATCAAAACGTTATGCCAGGGTAAGCCTACACAAAACACAGCCCTTATTTGAAGTGTTTCTCAAATTCCCTGTGGGAAAAATGAATGGTGGAAAAACGATTGGAACCATTTCCCTGTTTACCGCTAGGTTTTATGGGTATTATGACACCTCCACTGTGGAGCTCTATGAGCAACTTGAACAGATTAAAACCCAACCCTTAAAACTGGTATAATCCAAAATGCACCTAAACAGGTTTTTCTTCAATTACATTATCTTATTATATAATCAATACTCTCAATGCATTGGCCTATACATTTCAACTTCTCAGGACATAATAATATCACATAAACATTTAATGAATAAAGTTTAGGAGAAAAAAAACCCTAAGTGGCTATGAGAGTAGAACATAATTACTGAGCACCCTCACCTGCTGGATAAATATGTGACGTGACCTGCGTGCGCCATCCTTATCAGTCCACAGACATGTACTCACCACTATTCGGTTCTGAGTACAGGTCTATTTAAAATTAATTTCTCGCATATGATATTTTATATGGAAACTTGGGACATGTCTACTAGCAGCAGGCATATGCTTGAAACATGAACGCTAGCACCATGAACAAACATCTGCTAAATGTGTTTGGCTGTTTTGCGCCAAATGAATAAAATACAATGGAGTATGTCACGTAACGGGCGCTCTCCAAGCGTAAATTCACTTTGGCAATCTACTCAGATTTCAGAGCACTCTCGTCTGAGTGTGCCAGAGCGCAGAATAACTGATTAATTTACGAACGCTCAACACCCGTTGAATATGGCCGGTGTCAGTAAATTCGGCAAAAAAAGCGTCATTAAATTGTTGCCAGCAGTACAGTTAGTCAACAACGCTCTAAATAACAGCCTAACCAGCTCTGCTAGGGGGAGTAAAATGGTCAGAGTGAGGTGTTCTCTCGTTTGTGTCTGGAAGTAGCTTGCCAGCTAGCCAACGTTAGCTTTGGTGCTTGATTGCGGGTGTTAGGGTCAGAACGCTCGGATCAACCCTACTCCCATGCACTCCTCGGCCAGAGCGTCCAGTGTGCGCTATGAACGCTCCGAATTTACTGACAATCTGACAACGCTCTGAATTTACCAACGCCCTGAGCGCACTCTGGCACACCAGATTGAATTTACAAACACACCCCATTGTCACAGGGTGTTTTGATTATTTGTGATGCATTTTTACAATTAATAACAGTAAAGAACAACTGTGTTGGTTAAAACATACCTGTTGTGTGCAGTTCAGGGGTGGCCATTCCAGAACCCTGAGAGTTGATGTCAGAGTAAGTCCGGAGATGATCAACCAAATACAGTACAGGTCCATTCTCCTCGAGAAATGTTCCGCAGGCCTACGTGCAAAATAATGTGTAGTGACAGGCACAATGTGATGCCTTCAATTCTGAGAATGAAATAAAGGTAGTTTACAGGAAGACATGTTCAGACATGAACAAGGAAATGCTTTGAGGTAAATGTCTTTCTCTGGTGAAGTTGTTTTGATAAACATCAGAATTCGCAGGAAATTACAAATCAGGTTTATTTTTTAATCAAACATCAGCCACTAGAGGGAAGCACCAACTAAATGTATTTTCCCTGTCTAGTCAGTATCCTGTACCCAGTATTCTAGATTGGTACAGGTATATTTGGATCAAATGGATATTAGCCAATCTATGCATTTCTGATTGTATATAGTCGAATTTCCTACACTATAGATAAATAAAATATGTTTGGATTTTGAAACCTTTCATCAAAATACATCCAATAACTCATATAAAAAAGAACCTGTTGATTACTGTATATTTAACTGTAGTCTAGACCTACTACTCATCAACGCCAAGGGGGAATGTGTTAGAATATCCCTCCGCGAATCCCCAAAGGATCTGTGTACATTGTCAACCTCATTCACAGGCTCAACACTGTGATCTACAAACACATTGGTGTCTTATCTATGCTGAACCCCAAATATCCCATTGTTTGTTGTTTCATTATCGGGCTTTAAGTCCTAAAGCTTGATCTGTGACCAGGGATTGTGTGTTAAATCCTGGCTCTTCTTACAGCTGTTTCTGTACTGTTCACTGACCGCAAGCTAAGCTTTGTGTCCCAAATGGCACCCTATTCCCTACATAGTGCACTACTTTTGACCAGCGCTCATTGTGAGCTATGTAGGGAAGAGGGTGCTATTTGGGTCGTAAACCAAGCTCTTGTCAGATCAGTTTACACTATGGCAGATTGACTAGCCTGGTCCCAGATCTGTTTGTGCTGTCTTGCCAACTCCTATGTCTACTATGGCCGTATGCTTTGGCAAGACGGCACAAACAGATCTGGGACCAGGCTAAAGATTGACACCTGCCCCCTTGCTGCTATTTAGAACCATTACATAGATCAGGGGTAGGCAACCCTGTTCCTGGAGTGCCAAAAGTACTGCAGGATTTTGTTCCAACTAGGCACCACACCTGACCAACTGAGCTAATTGATCAGTTCAGTGATTGCCTAAATTCAACACACCTGGTCTTCCAGGTCGGTTAAAATAAAAACATGAAGTGGCTACGGAGCTCCAGGACCAGGGTTGCCTACCCCTGACAGATGAAGGTGTACTAGTGCGTGAGCACCGAGCAATGTATCAAATCAAATGCACACTCCAATCCAGTTGAGACAGAAACCATCATGGGGTTTATTTTGATCCAAAATCGTTAATGTAAAAATAGATGTTACAGTAGTGTTTTGTTACAGCTAGAAAGGAACCGTGGTGGTGGTGATCTTCATAACGAGTGTTTGGTGTGATGTTCTATGTACTGGTATTTGACAGAAGGATTACCAGTGTTGAAAGACATTGCCGTTCTTATTTTATTCGATCACACTGCATCTCTGTTTACAGTATGATCCAAGCCAATTATCCCTGTGTGGAGCACTCATGACCCTGAGCAACGATTTCTAGCTAGACCTTGTGCCTAAGAATCTATTTTGCTAGAGAAACTGGCATCAAATGATGGTTCCATGTTTATGGTCTTAGAGCAGGTGGTCTTAGATATCAGACTGTTCTGCCAGTTTTTCAGAAGTACTTTTTTTTTCAGAAGTAGTTTTATAGCACTGTGTGTGTGTGTGTGTGTGTGTGTGTGTGTGTGTGTGTATACAGTGAGGGAAAAAAGTATTTGATCCCCTGCTGATTTTGTATGTTTGCCCACTGACAAAGAAATTAGTCTATAATTGTAATTTGTTTTAATTTGCATTTTAATGAGGGAAATAAGTGTTTGACCCCTCTGCAGAACATGACTTAGTACTTGGTGGCAAAACCCTTGTTGGCAATTACAGAGGTCAGACATTTCTTGTAGTTGGCGACCAGGTTTGCACACATCTCATGAGGGATTTTGTCCCACTCCTCTTTGCAGATTTTCTCCAAGTCATTAAGGTTTCGAGGCTGACGTTTGGCAACTCGAACCTTCAGCTCCCTCCACAGTTTTTCTATGGGATCAAGGTCTGGAGACTGGCTAGGCCACTCCAGGACCTTAATGTGCTTCTTCTTGAGCCACTCCTTTGTTGCCTTGGCCATGTGTTTTGGGTCATTGTCATGCTGGAATACCCATCCACGACCCATTTTCAATGCCCTGGCTGAGGGAAGGAGGTTCTCACCCAAGATTTGACGGTACATGGCCCCGTCCATCGTCCCTTTGATGCGGTGAAGTTGTCCTGTCCCCTTAGCAGAAAAACACCCCCAAAGCATATTGTTTCCACCTCCATGTTCGATGGTGGGGATGGTGTTCTTGGGATCATAGGTAGCATTCCTCCTCCTCCAAACACGGCGAGTTGAGTTGATACCAAAGAGCTCGATTTTGGTCTCATCTGACCACAACACTTTCACCCAGTTCTCCTCTGAATCATTCAGATGTTCATTGGTAAACTTCAGATGGCCCTGTATATGTGCTTTCTTGAGCAGGGGGACCTTGCGGGCGCTGCAGGATTTCAGTCCTTCACGACGTAGTGTGTTACCAATTGTTTTCTTGGTGACTATGGTCCCAGCTGCCTTGAGATCATTGACAAGATCCTCCCGTGTAGTTCTGGGCTGATTCCTCACCGTTCTCATGATCATTGCAACTCCACGAGGTGAGATCTTGCATGGAGCCCCAGGCCGAGGGAGATTGACAATTATTTTGTGTTTCTTCCATTTGCGAATAATCACACCAACTGTTGTCACCTTCTCACCAAGCTGCTTGGCGATGGTCTTGTAGCCCATTCCAGCCTTGTGTAGGTATACAATCTTGTCCTTGACATCCTTGGAGAGCTCTTTGATCTTGGCCATGGTGGAGAGTTTGGAATCTGATTGATTGATTGCTTCTGTGGACAGGTGTCTTTTATACAGGTAACAAGCTGAGATTAGGAGCACTCCCTTTGGGTTGCTTAAGCTTGAATATTGCAGAGAGGATCTCTTTTATACTTATCCCCATATTATTTATTTTTTTAACATGGGGCCTGTATTTAGTCAGCCCCATGTGCGTTCTCCCATTTAAAAAGATGAGAGAGGCCTGTAATTTTCATCATAGGTACACGTCAACTATGACAGACAAAATGAGACATTTTTTTCCAGAAAATCACATTGTAGGATTTTTTATGAATTTATTTGCAAATTATGGTGGAAAATAAGTATTTGGTCAATAACAAAAGTTTCTCAATACTTTGTTGTATACCCTTTGTTGGCAATGACACAGGTCAAACATTTTCTGTAAGTCTTCACAAGGTTTTCACACACTGTTGCTGGTATTTTGGCCCATTCCTCCATGCAGATCTCCTCTAGAGCAGTGATGTTTTGGGGCTGTCGCTGGGCAACACAGACTTTCAACTCCCTCCAAAGATTTTCTATGGGGTTGAGATCTGGAGACTGGCTAGGCCACTCCAGGACCTTGAAATGCTTCTTACGAAGCCACTCCTTCGTTGACCGGGCGGTTTGTTTGGGATCATTGTCATGCTGAAAGACCCAGCCACGTTTCATCTTCAATGCCCTTGCTGATGGAAGGAGGTTTTCACTCAAAATCTCACGATACATGGCCCCATTCATTTTTTCCTTTACACGGATCAGTCGTCCTGGTCCCTTTGCAGAAAAACAGCCACAAAGCATGATGTTTACACCCCCATGCTTCACAGTAGGTATGGTGTTCTTTGGATGCAACTCAGCATTCTTTGTCCTCCAAAAACGACGAGTTGAGTTTTTACCAAAAAGTTTCATCTGACCATATAACATTCTCCCAATCCTCTTCTGGATCATCCAAATGCACTCTAGCAAACTTCAGACGGGCCTGGACATGTACTGGCTTAAGCAGGGGGACACGTCTCGCACTGCAGGATTTGAGTCCCTGGCGGCGTAGTGTGTTACTGATGGTAGGCTTTGTTACTTTGGTCCCAGCTCTCTGCAGGTCATTCACTAGGTCCCCCTGTGTAGTTCTGGGATTTTTGCTCACCGTTCGTGTGATCATTTTGACCCCACGGGGTGAGATCTTGCGTGGAGCCCCAGATCGAGGGAGATTATCAGTGGTCTTTTATGTCTTCCATTTCCTAATAATTGCTCCCACAGTTGATTTCTTCAAACCAAGCTGCTTACCTATTGCAGATTCAGTCTTCCCAGCCTGGTGCAGGTCTACAATTTTGTTTCTGGTGTCCTTTGACAGCTCTTTGGTCTTGGCCATAGTGGAGTTTGGAGTGTGACTGTTTGAGGTTGTGGACAGGTGTCTTTTATACTGATAACAAGTTCAAACAGGTGCCATTAATACAGGTAACGAGTGGAGGACAGAGGAGCCTCTTAAAGAAGAAGTTACAGGTCTGTGAGAGCCAGAAATCTTGCTTGTTTGTAGGTGACCAAATACTTATTTTCCACCATAATTTGCAAATAATTTGCAAATAAATTCATTAAAAATCCTACAATGTGATTTTCTGGATTTTCTTTCCTCAATTTGTCTGTCATAGTTGACATGTACCTATGATGAAAATTACAGGCCTCTCTCATCTTTTTAAGTGGGAGAACTTGCACAATTGGTGGATGACTAAATACTTTTTTTCCCCACTGTATATATTCCCCTTTATTACTTTTCAACCCCACCATCCTTTCCCTACTTGGAGTAAATTAGTGAACAACAACGCCCAGGCCTCTACTTCCGGTCCATACTATCTACACCTTATGGACAGAGTTAATTTTACAATAATTCTATATCTATATATATATATACATACATACACATACACACACACATACATATATATATATATATATATATATATATATATATATATATATATATACATATATACATACATATACATATACACATCTATTTATTTATTTTTTCTCCTGAACTTCTTCTACTCTCAACCTCTCCGATCATCTTCATGATGTCCATCCGGTTTGCCTCTAAATGCCATATCTTTCTAACTGTGCTCCTTCCCAAAAGCTCCCAACATACAACCTATATACTTATTATGGACACAGTATGCTTACATTATTAGCTATCTTTGTTATTATTTGTTGTTATTTGTTATTAGTCCCATCCTTCAACTCCCTTTAAGAGTGTGCTCCTAATCTCAGCTCGTTACCTGTATAAAAGACACCTGGGAGCCAGAAATCTTTCTGATTGAGATGGGGTCAAATACTTATTTCCCTCATTAAAATGCAAATCAATTTATAACATTTTTGACATGCGTTTTTCTGGATTTTTTTGTTGCTATTCTGTCTCTCACTGTTTAAATAAACCTACCATTAAAATTATAGACTGATAATTTCTTTGTCAGTGGGCAAACGTACCAAATCAGCAGGGGATCAAATACTTTTTTCCCTCACTGTACATATGTGTGTGCAACGTGCGTAACTGTGTGTGTAACTGTGTGTATGCTCACGTGTGTGAACTGTGTACAGCTTTTACATGTGCATCATCTGGGAACGGATGTGTGCTAGGTTGGGAACAAAGAGTGATGCATTCCATTAAATGTTAAATGTCAGGAGTAGGAGAGGCGTTGCAGGGGGTCTATTTTAGTGAGCCATTCACACAAGGCTTTCAATCCATAAATCTATCATCTCAAATCATAAAATGCTTTTTCCTCTCCTCCCTGCTCCCACACTCCTCTCACTCTCTCTGATTGTCCTCACCTTGAAGGTAAGTTTGACACAACAATCAAGTAATTAAATTTCGCAAATTAAATGGGCACTGTGTAAAGTTATGTATTGGAATTCGGAAGAAAAATTCAGAGTTACAATGCACATTAAAAAGGGCTACTTAACGGTAGAACTTCTGACATTGCAAGATACAGTAGAAGGAAGAACGGACCCAGCCGTAGCTCCTACTTAGTAGCGTTAAGACGGCAGTGCAGTTGCCTGGGTGGGTTTCAGACGCTCTCCACACTGTACAACTGGGCTGAGGCAGGTGGAGCAGCCTTAGTTTTAATACCGGGATTAGTGAAGATTGCATGTCATTGTGACCGGCTGTGACACGGATACTGCTGTTTGTATTTACGTCATGGAATCTGTTGTTATGCCACTGCTTTTGTTGTGTGTGTGTGTGTCTTAGTCAGAGCAACCATCCGATTATGTGTGACTTATTTTGACCCTCTCTGGGCCCACACACCATGAACGACTGACTGATCTCTCAGAGAGGAAAAAATGTAACCCGAAGCTTATACACACCCCCAATTGCCAAAAGTCTGATGGCAGGTTTCAACCACTTCACCCCTTGATTCCTCTTTAGTGGTCAAGAATCTGGGGTCAAAGGCCATTCTTCCTCTACTAGTTTACCTTGACTTGAGCACCTTTGTCAGTCGTTGATAGGCTTAGCTTCATAGGCTGCATATTGTGCATTTGTGTTCCACTATACATTAATGATATGGTACAGAACCTGTCATTCTCATGTCTCATTCTATGGTACATAACCTGTCATTCTCATGGCTCATTCTATGGTACAGAACCTGTCATTCTCATGTCTCATTATATCTACACTCTTAGAAAAAAAGGTGCTATCTAGAAACTAAAAGGTTTCTTCAGCTGTCCCCATAGGTTAACTCTTTGAAGAACCCTTTTTGGTTCCAGGTGGAACCCTTTTGGTTCCAGGTAGAACCCTTTTGGGTTCGTTGTAGAACCCTTTCCACAGAGGGTTCTACATGGAACCCAAAAGGGTTCTTTCTACCTGTAACCAAAAGGGTTCTACCTGGAACCAAAAAGGGTTATCATATGGGGACAGCCAAAGAACCCTTTTGGAACCGTTTTTTCTAAGAGTGTAGGATAAGGAAAAATAGCAGATCATGTTTTATTGTCATCAAAATATTTCAACAACAAGATTTTTCATTGTGTCAGCCATGTATTGTAAGGTTCTCTGCTATATTTCAAGACAAGCTGCCATGTGTTAAAGGGAAGCTAAAAGGAGAGCCACATTAAATCTGTTTCCTACCAGAGAGAGAGAAAGAGACAGAAAAAAGAGAGAGATGGAAAAACAGATCATCCTCAGTGCTCTGCCAAAACCTCTTTCCTGTCAGGTCTTCTATCCACAGGCCTTCTATTGCCAGTCCTTTGACTGGCATCACCAAGGCCACAGCTGCTACTTGGCATCTATCTGGGACGTAGGAAAGCATGGCAGCAATGTGCTACACAAATATAGCCAGACAGGAGCTTTCACACAACCTTAGCCCCTGATTACAAAGGGAAATATTATCCCATGGTGTAAGCACACTGACATTTTGTCCCCATCAAGTCCTATCGGACAACCAGGCCTAACTGTAATCATTAAATGATCTGTGGGAGATTACTGTATCAGCATAAATGTTCCATAAAGCTTGTAACGCTTGTTTGAATCGGTTCCTCAGGTATCCTGACCAACAGCAGCCATGTCTGAAGGGTGAGTAGTGACTTTAACGTCTCTTGATCCAAAGCTTGGTCAAAATGTATGTTATGTAGAGTCAATTAACTGGTCTTGTCTTGTTGTTGTTCCTTACCAATGGGGAAAAAGACCGGTGAGTTCTTTGTTCTTTATCCACATCAACACATCCAAAGCAGTTGTTTATATACAGAGGTCAGTGTATATTGTCTATAGTGAAAATGTTTGTCTCTTTCAGAAAAAGTATTCGGCAACACGCCGGCTGCTCCTAAAGGTATGTTTCACTCTCAGGCCTCGCTGTGTTGATGACGATAGTAGGCCTATGACAGAATCCACAGAAACAAGGATGCGTTAGTTATCTGCATGTACCCCTACAATATGGATACATATTGAATCCTGTGTTAAAAATTCCAGGTCTTCAGACATGGACCTACCCTTTGAACCCCTAGGTTGTCCCTTTATTTAGACTGCCTGGCTGCTTATTGGTCCTTCGAGACGGATATGGACAACCGCTATTGGGGACAACCGCTAATTTAGAATGGGAACAACCGTTATTGGGGACAGCCGCTATTGGGGACAACCGCTAATTTAGAATGGGAACAATCATTATTGGGGACAGCCGCTATTGGGGTCAACCGCTAATTTAGAATGGGAACAATCATTATTGGGGACAACCACTCAGTTACCCTTACACACTCTTAGAAAAAAGGTTTTCAAAAGGGTTCTTCGGCTGTCCCCATAGGAGAACCCTTTTTGGTTCCAGGTAGAACCCTCTGTGAAAAAATGGTTCTACCTGGAACCCAAAAGGGTTCTACCTGCAACCAAAAAGGAACAGCCAAAGTACAATTTAAGGTTCTAGACAGCACCTTTTTTCTAAGAGTGCAGCTACACCTTTTATTGAGAATTAATTATAATACATGATAAACAGATAGTGTTAACTTCAAATGAGAAGAGATGTTAACCTGTATACCAAATGCCACATTAAAAGTGATTAACTGTTGGTGAGAAGGAACATTAGCAGGGGTTAACTGCTGGTATTGTCTTTCCTCAGACCAAACTGCTGAAAAAGGCAGGGATAATGCTGGTGGCTGAGTTTGCGGACAAGAAACGTGAAAGAGAGAGCGCTCTGAATGAGAGAGCCCCACCCCTCAAACTGTCTGGCCTGTCTGTGCAGGAGCTACAGGTAAGTCTTAATATATATATGACACTTAATATATCTATAATACTTAATATATATATATAATACATCATATATACTATAAAATACACTGCTCAAAAAAATAAAGGGAACACTTAAACAACACAATGTAACTCCAAGTCAATCACACTTCTGTGAAATCAAATTGTCCACTTAGGAAGCAACACTGATTGACAATAAATGTCACATGCTGTTGTGCAAATGGAATAGACAACAGGTGGAAATTATAGGTAATTAGCAAGACACCCCCAATAAAGGACTGGTTTTGCAGGTGGTGACCACAGACCACTTCTCAGTTCCTATGCTTCCTGGCTGATGTTTTGGTCACTTTTGAATGCTGGCGGTGCTTTCACTCTAGTGGTAGCATGAGACGGAGTCTACAACCCACACAAGTGGCTCAGGTAGTGCAGCTCATCCAGGATGGCACATCAATGCGAGCTGTGGCAAGAAGGTTTGCTGTGTCTATCAGCGTAGTGTCCAGAGCATGGAGGCGCTACCAGGAGACAGGCCAGTACATCAGGAGACGTGGAGGAGGCCGTAGGAGGGCAACAACCCAGCAGCAGGACTGCTACCTCCGCCTTTGTGCAAGGAGGAGCAGGAGGAGCACTGCCAGAGCCCTGCAAAATGACCTCCAGCAGGCCACAAATGTGCATGTGTCTGCTCAAACGGTCAGAAACAGACTCCATGAGGGTGGTATGAGGGCCCGACGTCCACAGGTGGGGGTTGTGCTTACAGCCCAACACCGTGCTGGACGTTTGGCATTTGCCAGAGAACACCAAGATTGGCAAATTCGCCACTGGCGCCCTGTGCTCTTCACAGATGAAAGCAGGTTCACACTGAGCACATGTGACAGACGTGACAGAGTCTGGAGACGCCGTGGAGAACGTTCTGCTGCCTGCAACATCCTCCAGCATGACCGGTTTGGCGGTGGGTCAGTAATGGTGTGGGGTGGCATTTCTTTGGGGGGCCGCACAGCCCTCCATGTGCTCGCCAGAGGTAGCCTGACTGCCATTAGGTACAGAGATGAGATCCTCAGACCCCTTGTGAGACCATATGCTGGTGCGGTTGGCCCTGGGTTCCTCCTAATATAAGACAATGCTAGACCTCATGTGGCTGGAGTGTGTCAGCAGTTCCTGCAAGAGGAAGGCATTGATGCTATGGACTGGCCCGCCCGTTCCCCAGACCTGAATCCAATTGAGCACATCTGGGACATCATGTCTCGCTCCATCCACCAACGCCACGTTGCACCACAGACTGTCCAGGAGTTGGCGGATGCTTTAGTCCAGGTCTGGGAGGAGATCCCTCAGGAGACCATCCGCCACCTCATCAGGAGCATGCCCAGGCGTTGTAGGGAGGTCATACAGGCACGTGGAGGCCACACACTCTACTGAGCCTCATTTTGACTTGTTTTAAGGACATTACATCAAAGTTGGATCAGCCTGTAGTGTGGTTTTCCACTTTAATTTTGAGGGTGACTCCAAATCCAGACCTCCATGGGTTGATAAATTTGATTTCCATTGATAATTTTTTTGTGATTTTTTTTGTCAGCACATTCAACTATGTAAAGAAAAAAGTATTTAATAAGATTATTTAATTCATTCAGATCTAGGATGTGTTATTTTAGTGTTCCCTTTATTTTTTTGAGCAGTGTATAATCCAGTATATCATCCATAGTAGGAGCTGGTTATAGAGGTGGAGAATCATCCATAAAAATATTTTACTCAACAAATCTGCCAATATAGAATTTATAGAATTCTCTATACTCTATAAATTATTTATTTTGCAATTGATTGGCTAAATATTTTAAATGATATGTAATTTCAATAATACCGTTATCTGTAATTAATGTGTTGTTGGTTGTCTATTCTACATTAAATCATATTCTTGCAGGACCTCTGTAAAGACCTACACAAAAAGATTGATATCGTAGATGAGGCACGATATGACATGGAAATCAAAGTGGGGAAAAATGATTTAGAGGTATGCTAAATTCTCTGTTATTGTGTTTGATATATTCACCCAACCATAAACCTGTCCACAATGACAACACATCCTATAGAATTTATCTTACAGTAATTGAATGATTACATTCCTAGCTATATTAAATAAAAAGTGGAGAGAGTGTACACCCCTATCTTGTGCCTCCATTGCGAAGGAAAGTATTCCTAATCATTAACAGCAATAGCAATTGACTGATTGGACACATGCTAGATAAGATAATATTGTACTTTATTAATCCCTTTTTAAGGGAGATCTGATCTGATTACACCAGCCATACAAACAACAACAATAAATACACAACAAAAATAACAGACATTAAAAAGCAGCACATCATCAACACTGTCCACAGATTAAGTCGCTGACCCAGAAGATCGACGAGATAAAGGGGTCGAAGAAGCCTACTCTGAAGAGGGTGAAGAAGTCTGCTGCTGATGCCTTGCTGGGAGCCGTGGCCGACACTGGCAAAATGAAGGCTGACTTCACATCCGGCCTCAAGAAAGTCAAGAAGGAAGAGGAGAAGGTTTGTTTGTTTTTAGACCACAATGAGGTCTAAAGCTGTCCCAAATGGCACCCTATTTCCTATATAGTGCTCCACTTTTGACCTCTAGTCTATATAGGGAATAGGGGTCAAAAGTAGTGCACTATATAGGGAATAGGGTACCATTTGGGATGCTACCCTAATCTTCCAAGGGTCCATGAAAAACAGAAAATACAGTACCTGATAGTATTTTTGGTATCAAACCTAATGATATGATTTCTGGTCTCCACAGAAAGAGGAGGTGACTGACTGGCGTAAGAATGTGGATGCCATGTCTGGCATGGAGGGTAGAAAGAAGCTGTTTGATGCTGGAAAATAAGAAGGTATTGATTATGATTAGCAACATTGGCTAAAGTACCCTTTAGGACACATGTCAAACTAATTCCGAGTGTCTGCGGGTTTTCACTCCTCCCCTTGTACTTGATTGATGGAATTAAGGTCACTCATTTGTAAATAGCTCCCCTCACCTGGTTGTCTAGGTCTTCATTGAAAGGAAAAACCAAAAAACCCGCAGACACTAGGTCCTCCATGGAATGAGTTTGACACCCCTGCTTTAGGACAATGGAAAATGTCTGTTGCACGTATTATATATTGTCAAGGAGTGCTTCAATACAAGCTTAAATACAAGCTTAAATACAAACTGAAATACAAACTTAAATACAAGCATTCTTATTCTCATCTCTTTCTCAATTCAAATATTATTGTAGGGTCCTGTTGTAACCACCATTAAGAGAGAAGTATGCCAAGACTGCAAGATCCCACAAAGAGAAGAGAGAGAGAGAGGACGTCAGTTCTAGAAGAGAGGTGAATTTCATGTTGTGATATGAAATAATTTATAATGAATCATGTCAACCATGTCAACCATGTAAATTCTACGTGTGTGTTCCCCTGTTTAATGTGATATGAGAGTTTGCTCGTTCACAGGGAATATTGTTGATATGATATATTGTAGATATATTATAGATAGTTGTAGAAGATAGATATGTTGCATGTAAATTATGTGTTGATAGAATCAGTTATTTCTGATATATTGGTAGTATCCCTTATGGAAAACCGACATGATTTCACATGTGAAATTTTCAAGTTTTGCACATGTAAAAGTTTATTGTGAAACCATGTGGTTTTGGAACACTTCACATGTGATTATATTTCACATGAAGTTTCACATGTGGATTGTCACTTGTGATCACCTAACCTTTCACATGTGGATTCAAATTTTCACTTGTGTATATTTTTCACGTGAGATTTCACAGGTGACGATGCCCTGCATACAATCATCTGTTATTAGGATGTCCCCCGGAATGTCACAAAATAGTTGCAGTGTTTTCAACTTACATATTTGACACACATGATTATATTGTGCATGTTTATTTCAGTGGAGGCTGCTGAGGGGAGGACGGCTCATAATAATGGCTGGAACGGAGCAAATGGAATGGCATCAAACACATGGAAACCATGGAAACCATGTGTTTGATGTTGTTGATACCATTCCACTTATTCTGTTCCGGCCATTAACACGTGCCCGTCCTCCCCAATTAAGGTGCCACCAACCCCATGTGGTTTATTTATACAGTAATTACTATTCAACATGTCCTCACCGTCCTGCCACACCGCCATGTCTGTGTCAATGACTGATTTCACCTGTATTCATACACTTTGGACTTCAAAGTTAATCTCAGCTTTGTTAAAAATACACTCAAGAAAAACAATTATATTGATCATAGTGATTCAGGAGTAACATTAAAACAGAATAATATGCCCCACCAACATTAGACAACTATACAGAAAACCCTAAAATTGCAGAAATAAATCAACTAAATCAATGATGAGAGAATAGTCAGATTAAATTATAACACCAATATCAGTGCAGATGGTATTATTATGCAGATGGTACAGCAGAAAGACCAGCGGACCCCGATTTCCAGTTGGGGTCATATTGAAAAATAATGTTCAGTTTCACATGTGAAACCATATGTATTACATTTAGAGTTCATATGTTAACACCAGCTTTTCACATGAGGTGAGTAAGATGTTTGTGAAATGTGCAGATTCACATGTGAAAAACCTTCACATGTGAAAATCGAATTTAGCATTTTAACATGTGAAAAACTTTCACATGTGGAATTGCATTTTCACATGTGAAAATCGAATTTGTCACGTGAAAATGTATCATGCATATGTGGAACTGCAAGTTCACATGTGAAAAACAAACTTTGCAGTTCCACACGTAAGAAACGAATGAAAATCTAACCTTCACAAATCGAATTTGCGGTTTTACATGTGAAAAACATTCAAATGTTGTCACAGGTGTAATTTCATGGTATCACGTTGAGATTTACATCTCCAATGTTGTCACATTCATTTCACATGAGATCATGTTTTCATGTATTTTCATGTTATCACATGTTGCTTTTACATGTTGTCACATGTTATCACATTAACTTCACAGAAGCTCACGTGATCACGTGAAATTCCTGTGTTTTTTTCCGTAAGGGATTGCAGTTCTGTAGGTGGATGGATAACTCTCAATATCATCTGAATTGGTACACTGTAGCTATTGCAGGTAGGACGACGCGGTAAGACAGGAATGTGACGACATTAACTGTACAGTATCTAAACGTTGTATATTTTCAGTTGATTTAGCAAAACAAAAGATGGTCGCTATTGAGAGAGTGAAGCCATGTTATTGTGGTGTACAGACTTGGTGTAGCCTACATACATTTAATTTGACTGAATGTACAGAATTGGTGTGCAGACTGCTACATTTGACTGAATGGTTTAAAAGTTATTTCTTTACTTGATATGAATGTAAATGCCACTCCACTATTTAATAAAAAAGAGCTTGATAGTTTTGCAGTCTGGTGTCTCACTTTTTATTACTGTGGAAAGATGGCCGCTGCAGGTTTTGGGAAGTTCCAGAACAACACCCTCTCTTCCCATCTAGGGCTGAACAATGGAAGATACTGTAGTGTAGTAGGGGACCTGACACTGGGATTGGGGGAGTTCTATATACATGATATAGCGTTTAGATGTTATGGCCTGGTTCGTCAGGATGAAAAGACAGTCGACAGAGGGTTTATTTCAGTTATTCACTCACAGGAGGCCATAAAAGTTATCATATTGTCTAGTTATTCTATTGTCCACCAGTGAAGCTCTGAATAGCTCACTCTTCCAGCTTTTCTTCATGCAGAGAAGAAGGTATGTTTCTTTAGTATCCGACGTGGCATGGGAGCATGCTCTGAGATCAGATATCAAGATATCAAGTTAATTATATATCATTTTATATTCCAATATCAGGTACGTTTGAATCATTATGTACATGCAGTTTCATATTTCTTATACTCAATTTAATATTCAAAATTAAATATTCAATATATATTATAATATGTTCTGTTCACAATTGACTAATGTCTACCATTGTTATTTAGACACATTCTGGACAAGAAAGATATTTGATTTTTAAAAATAAAGATATTTAGATCTTTATGAAATAGGGGCAGATGTATGCCTCTCAAAAATATATTTCAAATCAATTTCTTTGAACAATCTATGGTATTCAGGCATGTCCTGTTGCTAATATAAAGGCTAAGGGCCTGCGTATTACCAATACCTTGACTTGAATAGTTCACATTCAAGTTTCAGCTGCATGGGCTTCACTCAACAAGAGGCTTGATATAGGAGAAATACACAAGGTTGTGAAGCTAAAACCATATTCTATTCTACATGCAGGGAGATGCGTTTGGCAATTATCCTAGAAATAAGCCATAGTTGACGAGTTGAGGCTACGGACTAATTGATCTGATTCTTAGCTTCAGACATGTGTAAAAGTTGTGTACATTAACTTGTCAGCAATGTTGTGTTAGGTATGTTTTTTTTTTTTTTTAATGATTATACAGTATGGAGAGAATAAGAAAATAGGAGATAAATATAATCCTATTTATAACAGACAGTCACCAGAAAAAGAGGTAAACATGACATGTAGTTAACCTCTATGTTCATGTAGAAAAAGCAGAAGATCGCTGCATCCCGCTGACTGGCTCTAAAGGTATTGTCCTCCCCATTCCCCACCTCTATGCAAGACACAAACGCTACACATAGGAAACCATTCTTATCTGCTCCTGCATCGTCACTTTATCACACGGATAACAACACAGTCAAATAGATCTCAGGAGGCCTAGGACATCATTTAGCTTTGTAATAACATGTATTTATTTGATAGGAGATACTTAGTGGCATTAATCATGCATTATTATATTATAATTCCGAATATTCCTCCTGTTATTTCAGATCAAACTGCTGAAAAAGGCAGGGGTGATGCTGGTAGCGGAGAAAGAGGAGAAGAGGCTGGCGAGAGAGAATACTCTGAGTGAAAGAGTTCCTCCTTTCAAGTTCTCTCTGCTTTGGCTCTCGTTGACCTTCAGGTATGTCTCAGGTGTCATAGGACTGGGGTCATAGGTCACAGGGGTTGATTGACTCCATCAATCATGAGCCTAACTGGAACATATTTGATGGTGTAGAGAACTGCACCATAAGGTCGATGTTGTAGGTGAAGAGCGGTATGACATTGCTATGAAGGTGTCCAAGAATGAAAAAGAGGTACTTATTTACATGTACTGTATATGTAAACATTTACATACACAAACTCTGTGTAAAACACTACCGTTTGCGTTGACATTATTAATGCTTTGTATAGGCTAGGGTTTGTTCTTTATATACTCAACATACTGTACTACGCTATATTTGCCATAGATTGAGAATCTGAATCTGAAGATAGTTGAGCTGAAGGGTAAAAAGAGACCTACCCTGAAGAGGGTGAGATAAACCAGCTGAAGCCATGATGGGGGCTCTGCTGGGAGCCAAGATCAAAGAGTCTGTTGACTTCAAGGCCAACCTCAAGACTGTGAAGAAGGAGGAGGAGAAGGTAAGGTTAGTGTGCTTCAATTGTCTACTGCTATCTCAAGCACACGTCAGCTGCTATAGACCTTGGTCAAGAAAGGCAATTTTGCTATCCAAGCAATGTAAATATATATATATACAGGTACAGTGGGGAGAACAAGTATTTGATACACTGCCGATTTTGCAGGTTTTCCTACTTACAAAGCATGTAGAGGTCTGTAATTTTTATCATAGGTACACTTCAACTGTGAGAGACGGAATCTAAAACAGAAATCCAGAAAATCACATTGTATGATTTTTAAGTAATTAATTTGCATTTTATTGCATGACATAAGTATTTGATCACCTACCAACCAGTAAGAATTCTGGCTCTCACAGACCTGTTAGTTTTTCTTTAAGAAGCCCTCCTGTTCTCCACTCATTACCTGTATTAACTGCAACTGTTTGAAACTCGTTACCTGTGTAAAAGACACCTGTCCACACACTCAATCAAACAGACTCCAACCTCTCCACAATGGCCAAGACCAGAGAGCTGTGTAAGGACATCAGGGATAAAATTGTAGACCTGCACAAGGCTGGGATGGGCTACAGGAAAATAGGCAAGCAGCTTGGTGAGAAGGCAACAACTGTTGGCTCAATTATTAGAAAATGGAAGAAGTTCAAGATGACGGTCAATCATCCTCGGTCTGGGGCTCCATGCAAGATCTCACCTCGTGGGGCATCAATGATCATGAGGAAGGTGAGGGATCAGCCCAGAACTACACGGCAGGACCTGGTCAATGACCTGAAGAGAGCTGGGACCACAGTCTCAAAGAAAACCATTAGTAACACACTACGCCGTCATGGATTAAAATCCTGCAGCGCACGCAAGGTCCCCCTGCTCAAGCCAGCGCATGTCCAGGCCTGTCTGAAGTTTGCCAATGACCATCTGGATGATCCAGAGGTCATGTGGTCTGATGAGACAAAAATATAGCTTTTTGGTCTAAACTCCACTCGCCGTGTTTGGTGGAAGAAGAAGGATGAGTACAACCCCAAGAACACCATCCCAACCGTGAAGCATGGAGGTGGAAACATCATTCTTTGGGGATGCTTTTCTGCAAAGGGGACTGGACGACTGCACCGTATTGAGGGGAGGATGAATGGGGCCATGTATCGCGAGATCTTGGCCAACAACCTCCTTCCCTCAGTAAGAGCATTGAAGATGGGTCGTGGCTGGGTCTTCCAGCATGACAACGACCTGAAACACACAGCCAGGGCAACTAAGGAGTGGCTCCGTAAGAAGCATCTCAAGGTCCTGGAGTGGCCTAGCCAGTCTCCAGACCTGAACCCAATAGAACATCTTTGGAGGGAGCTGAAAGTCCGTATTGCCCAGCGACAGCCCCGAAACCTGAAGGATCTGGAGAAGGTCTGTATGTGTGGGCCAAAGATCCCTGCTGCAGTGTGTGCAAACCTGGTCAAGAACTACAGGAAACGTATGATCTCTGTAATTGCAAACAAAGGTTTCTGTACCAAATATTATGTTCTGCTTTTCTGATGTATCAAATACTTATGTCATGCAATAAAATGGCAAATTAATTACTTAAAAATCATACAATGTGATTTTCTGGATTTTTCGTCTCTCACAGTTGAAGTGTACCTATGATAAAAATTACAGACCTCTACATGCTTTGTAATTAGGAAAACCTGCAAAATCGGCAGTGTATCAAATACTTGTTCTCCCCACTGTATGTACATAAGTATATGTCATTGTATATGAAATACATACTGTATAAATAAATGTATCCCGAGTGGCGCAGTGGTCTAAGGCGCTGCATCGCAGTGCTAGCTGTGCCACTAGAGATCCTGGTTCGAATCCAGGCTCTGTCGTAGCCGGTCGCGACTGGGAGACCCATGCGACGGCGCACAATTGGCCCAGCGTCGTCCAGGGTAGGGGAGGGAATGGCCGGCAGGGATGTAGCTCAGTTGGTAGAGCATGGTGTTTGCAACGCCAGGGTTGTGGGTTCGATTCCCACGGGGGGCCAGTATGAAAAAAATATATTAAAAAAATAATGAATGCACTCACTAACTGTAAGTCGCTCTGGATAAGGGCGTCTGCTAAAATGTAAATAAGTTAATATATGTATATCTATAATAGTGAAGACGTCAAAACTATGAAATAACACATATGGAATCATGTACAGTGCCTTAAAAAAGTATTCATCCCCTTTGTGTTTTTCCTATTTTGTTGCATTACAACCTGTAATTTAAATAGATTTTTATTTGGATTTCATGTAATGGACATACACAAATTAATCCAAATTGGTGAAGTGAAATGAAAAAAATTACTTGTTTCAAAAAATTCAAAAAAATCTATAACGGAAAAGTGGTGGGTGCGTATGTATTCACCCCCTTTGCTATGAAGCCCCAAAATAAGATCTGGTGCAACCAATTACCTTCAGAAGTCACATAATTAGTTAAATAAAGTCCACCTGTGGGCAATCTAAGTATCACATGATCTGTCACATAATCTCTGTATATATACACCTGTTCTGAAAGGCCCCAGAGTCTGCAACACCACTAAGCAAGGGGCACCACCAAGCAAGCGGCACCATAAAGACCAAGGAGCTCTCCAAACAGGTCAGGGACAAAGTTGTGGAGAAGTACAGATCAGGGTTGGGTTATAAAAAAATATCTGAAACTTTGAACATCTCACGGAGCACCATTAAATCCATTATAAAAAAATGGAAAGAATATGGCACCACAACAAACCTGCCAAGAGAGGGCCGCCCACCAAATCTCATGGACCAGGCAAAGAGGGCATTAATCAGAGAGGCAACAAAGAGCAAAGAAAACCCTGAAAGAGCTGCAAAGCTCCACAGCGGAGATTGGCGTATCTGTCCATAGGACCACTTTAAGCCGTACACTCCACAGAGCTGGGCTTTACGGAAGAGTGGTTAAGGGCAACAAAGTCAAGGTATTGGAGTGGCCATCACAAAGCCCTGACCTCAATCCTATTGAAAATGTGTGGGCAGAACTGAAAAAGCGTGTGCGAGCAAGGAGGCCTACAAACCTGACTCAGTTACACCAGCTCTGTCAGGAGGAATGGGCCAAAATTCACCCAACTTATTGTGGGAAGCTTGTGGAAGGCTACCCGATACGTTTGACCCAAATTAAACAATTTAAAGGCAATGCTACCAAATACTAATTGAGTGTATGTAAACGTCTGACCCACTGGGAATGTGATGAAAGAAAGAAATAGCTTCTCTCTACTATTATTCTGACATTTCACATTCTTAAAATAAAGTGGTGATCCTAACTGGCCTAAAACAGGGAATTTTTACAAGGATTAAATGTCAGGAATTGTGAAAAACTGAGTTTAAATGTATTTGGCTAAGGTGTATGTAAACTTCCGACTTCAACAGTCTTTGGGCTGCAATTTCTGAGGCTGGTAACTCTAATGAACTTATCCTCTGCAGCAGAGGTAACTCTGGGTCTTCCATTCCTGTGGCGGTCCTCATGAGAGCCAGTTTCATCATAGCGCTTGATGGTTTTTGCGACTGCATTTGAAGAAACTTTCAAAGTTCTTGAAATGTTCCGTATTGACTGACCTTCATGTCTTAAAGTAATGATGGACTGTCGTTTCTCTTTGCTTATTTGAGCTGTTCTTGACATAATATGGACTTGGTATTTTACCAAATAAGGCTATCTTCTGTATACCACCTTGTCACAACACAACTGATTTGCTCAAACGTATTAAAAATAAAATAAATTCCACAAATTAACTTTTAATAAGGCACACCTGTTAATTGAAATGCATTCCAGGTGACTACCTCATGAAGCTGGTTGAGAGAATGTCAAAAGTGTGCATAGCTGTCATTAAGGCAAAGGGTGGCTATTTGAAGAATCTCAGATATAAAATATATTTTGATTTGTTTAACACTTTTTTGGTTACTACATGATTTCATATGTGTTATGTCATAGTTTTGATGTCTTCACTATTATTCTACAATGTATACAATAGAAACATAAAGAAAAACCCTTGAATGAGTAGGTGTGTCCAAACTTTTGACTGGTACTGTACATATTTTTAATATACACTGCAAATATATTTCTCAGTATGTATTTTATGCTTTGTGTTGTGGCTCATTGCTGAGAAGGATTGTTACCTTATTCATAGAAAGGGGAGGTGACTGACTGGCGTAAGAATGTGGATGCCATGTCTGGCAGGAAGACTGTTTGATGCTGGACAATAAATATAGGTAATACGATACATCAAGAAAATATATTTTTTATACACAGTATATATTTATATTTTTTGCATAGTTTACAGATAACTTTGTGTATGAGATGGTTGAAAAAATGTTTTTAATTTTTTGGGGATTTCCAACGAGCACCTAACCCTTAAAGGGATAGTGTGAGATTCTGCCAATTAAAAATGGCTTAATTGCCTAAATCTAGCCATATCCCTTTAATTAATCATCACAGTCGAAGAGACATCTTCTGAGGAGGGGTGCAATGGTTGTTAAGATGAGGAGAGGTTTGTCTGTATTAAAGAGATGCTCTGCTTTTTTGATACCACACTCCACAAAGCAAGTCCTGCAGGCTCTACTTTTGTCTTATCTTGATTATTGTCCAGTCGTGTGGTCGAGTGCTGCAAGGAAAGACCTAGTTAAGCTGCAGCTGGCCCAGAACAGAGCGGCATGTTGCTCTTCATTGTAATCAGATGGCTAATTTAAATACTATGCATGCCAGTTTCTCTTGGCTAAGTGTTGAGGAGGGACTGACTGCATCACTTCTTCTTTTTATAAGAAACCTGGTTTCAAAAAACAGATAAAGCAACACTGTGAGAGTGTGATTAGAAGGACTCAGGCGCAGGAGAGTAAATCACCAAATATAGAGTTTATTCTGTCGTACACAGTTGCGCTGGATAGTGACCACAAAATACA